TTTAATCCTATTAAAATAAAGGTGAAACTTTAACTCTTTATGAAGAGGAGTTAAATAAATACACCATATACGAATGGGGCTATACTTTACTCCATTGTGAGGTCTGATCAATGACAAAATCATGGAGATTCCTGTTAATATTGCAGTGGGGAACAGGTCTAAATTCTCAACCCTACTATCTATAGTTGTTTATTTTCTTGGATATGACACAATCCATGGCATGTGTGAATCCATTTAACAGTAACTATAGCTATGCAAAGCTGACATTTATAAGACATTTCTGTATGGCAAACATTGATTGCTAAGATTTTTTTTTCTTATGTCTTTATTCTGAGTGTTCTTAAGAACCCCAGGAAACAGGTTTTGAAATGGAGGCTTATGAGGAAAAAGATACTTGCCTCAGAACCCAGACTAGTACATACATGTCTTAAAGAACCTGGATACAGATCCTGTGTATTGGACTCCAAAGCCTCTATTCTTCCACCATGCCCTGTGTCATTCTTGTTTAGCACTAAAGGAATGAAGATTACCCTCTGCTAGCTCCAAACCCATATCCTTATCAGAAAAAGAGTACTTCATAAGGTGAATGTGCAAATACCGCCTTTTAAGGCCCTGAGAACATGACTTGAAATAGTCATTGGCTCTGTTCTTTAGAACTACAAAAATACTCCCTTGAGAATGAGAATATTTTGAAATTAGTCATTTAATACTTCTAACAATCCACTTGCAATATTAAGAAGTTTGTTGCTTTCCAGAATTAGTCAAGCCTTTTGACAGTACACCTGTCCTTGACCCACATTCAGGGGCACATAGATCTTGTTCCTAGAAAAGAGTCAGGCATGGTACCTCCTGCATTGCTGTGGATGATTCCTGTTGTGTATTCTGGCCATAGGATCACGGAGAGACTCTTCTGTGTCAAAAACCAGTGAGTGTCCTAATGTCAGGAAGAACTGGCCTAAGTAGTAAATGTAAATTCTCTGAATCATTTGGATCATATAAACTGACTGTGGTCTAGACCAAATCATTCAGCATGCGTACTTTTTCTAACTTACCTTTCATTAATATGGTGAGGATCCAAGAGAAAAAAAGTATTGACCTGGAATTCACCCTCTGACCCGACATATGTTCTCCCACTGATGTGGATGATCATCATTGACTTGGATCATTTGCTGGGAAGAGGCAGGTATTGGTGTCATCAAGGCTGCTGTCAAGGCTCTGGTTTCCAGACTGGGGTGGATAAATGTATATATAGACTACAGGAGAATGATGCCTCCTCTACATTCTGTATGGAAATTTACCTTGTACAGCCTCTTGGACCTGGGATTCATTCCTTGGTGTCTGCTAATTCAAGCTAAAATCATGTAGTCCTGTTGTCTCATGGTGGTAAGAGGACCCTCTTGGGAAGGAGCAAATCTTTGTTCCCAAGAGGGTTGAAGTGTGAATGATCCTTTAAACTCTAAGCCTCACTGAGATCTGGAGGAAATGAACCCCAGTTAGAAAAGGACCCTGAATCATTGGGCAAGTGCGACAGGTCCCCTGTGTTTACCAAGCAACCTCAACCTAAGTCTTCTCTCTGACTGCTCGACCTCCCCGGCTCCTGAGCAGTGGTTCCATCACCCTGATCAGAGGACCTTATCATCCCCACTTGTCTCACTGGGCCTGCGCTGCTGGTCTGACACACCATCAGAGCTGCTGCCTGTGCTTCTCAGGGAGCCCTGTCTGTAGTAGGAATTAGGCTCCAATAGCTTCTGAGAACCAGAGATAACAAACTCTCCTTTGCAAATCTTCAGGAATCCATCCCTGGGTCATGGTAAGTGCAAGTCCACCCAGAGGGCAAGAGCAGCAGCCAGAGAGGGACACCAGCTGTTCCACCCAGCCCTCCTCAAGTTGCTCAGGTCTTTGCTCCTCTGAAAGGATGTTTGGCCTGCCTATAGATAAGCTGTGATATGAACACTGTGCCGTCAACGGGCCAGTGCAAAGTCCTGGGGATACACTCAATGGACTCAGTTGCATGGAGCCGACAGCAATGTATTCACCCACTCTACCTATGAAGAGTCACTTTGGCGTTCATTTATTCCTCCATTGAGGCATGAGAGCATTCATTCGGTGGTTCATTTGTTTATTCATTCAACAAGCATTGAACACAAATTCTAACCAGTCAGCTTTATGGGGAGTAAGGGAAAATACTGAATTACATTCTCTTACATCCTCTCAGACTATAATATAAAAATTAACTGTTGTTGAGTTAAATGTATTCCTATTAAGTTTTTTTTAAATCAAAACTATCATGTCATAGAAATCAGTGTTGAGTAACTAGCTAATTCATCTCTATTTTTTTAAATATTAATTAGTCTAGCTTTGAATTTTTTTTAAGTTATGGGACATTTCAACATTTCTACAATTACCCTAATACTTTTATATGGCATCAGTTGCACTCTAATTGGGCTCAAGACAAACAACCATATCCTGACTTCTAATATGAAGAACAGAAACTACCAAGTAACCTCATGTTGTTAAAATTCTTGACCCACATAACTGCCCATTACTGGTTAAGTTGTGGAATCTGTGGTTATGGTCTATAATTGCATGGATTCAATAACATTAATGTACAATTACATAAGAATAAACTGTGTAGCTCAGTTAAATTGCAGTACAATTGTTATCACTGAATGCAAAGCAATATCAATTAAACCTTCTTTTAAAACACCACAAATTAAGACTTAACTGCCAAAGAAACCCTAGAATGGCAAGTCATGTCTACCATAGGTAGACATTGTTATTTTCAGAGGCTCACTGACATTTCTAAAATTAGAAGCATCTTTCTCCTTTGTGCATTAATTGTGTGTTATCTGGAAAGGTTTCATTCAGGCATTGATTAACTTCTTAGAAGATATGTATCAAAAATTCAGTGTTTGCAATGTTGATGGAGACAAATTAGGAGTTATTGTGTTCATGTGGAATAATTAGTTAATTTTTGTGGGTAGGCATTGTGTTTGAATTTGGGATAGGAAAGAAGTTGATGCTAATGCTAATCCTAATTCTTAAGATACTTGAGTACTGACAATATTGTATCATTCAACATAATGAAAGAGTAGAATTAAGCTCCTTATGTAGCATAAAAATGTCTTCTTCTGCCATAGATGCATCCCTCATGTTTACTGAGTTGATCTTACCAGCTAGGGAAATTTGAGGAATTATTTAACCTCTGAGCCTCAAATTTCCTTTCAGTAAAATGGGGTTAAAGATAGCCAGACAAAGAATTATTGTAAAGATTAAATGAAGATGGCACAATCAAAGGGAATCAACAGGGTTCTTTATATAAAACGGGCATTAATAAACATGCTTCTCCTCTGTCCCGCCTCCTCACTGGGCATGTTTATGCTGTTCTTTATATGAATATTTGTACAACAAACTGATACTGTAGGTCTATGGATTTGGAGTTTAAATTATATCAGGCATGTGAGAATTTAATCAAACTGACTTTGACATTGATCCTAATGTATTTTTCAGACAACAGATATGTGCTGTTAACAGGAGGCTTTAGTAATGGGTGATTGAACTTTTAGAGCTGTTGATTTTTTTAGCAAAACTTTCGATATGAAAGAAAAATGATCTGCAAGGATGAACAACCCTTTCCTTCCCATACCCACAGTCTCTGAGTCACATGCACCTCCCCATGATGAGGTCTAAATTCCAGATGTTCCATGAAGCCTTTCATTTCATCTTGTCTTCTGACAGCACCTAAACAAATATATCAAAACTTGTACAACATTTAGCAAGTGCAGCTTGAAGATTTTCTTTCTGTTAGACAAATAGACGCCATCTGGAAAAAATAACCCCAGGCACTTGGACGCAGGAGCATGAAGTTTATTGGCTGAACACCCAATGAATACCTTACACTACTTTCTTTGGCTCCTACTCTCTGCCTGCTCATTTCAAATCTTGCACACTTCAGCAGGCGCTGTGCTGTTAGACAAGGGAATCCTTGTTACCCATGCAGTCAAATGCTATGAAGGCTCTCGTAACTAAAAAGATAGGCCTGCAAGAATTATCTGGATCCAAATGTTTCCTTTATATTATGACACCTGTTCCATAAAGGGCTGCTGAATATGGCTTTGTCATTATTAATGGCTAACAATGTTTCATTATTCTGTTCTTCCTTATATTTTCAATGACATGTTTTTTAAAGGAGGCTGGCCTCATTTAATCTTTCCTTCCTTCTTTCCTCTGACTTTTATTCAAGTACTTGTAGTATAATAATATTATATGTAATAATAATAATATTAGTATTATTTTGCCTTTCAAAATGGGCCAAACAGAATTTAAATGATTGCAATTTTATTTATCAGATTCTGGGGTAAATCAAACATTCATAGAAATCATGTAAGCAATCTGCACTTTAATTTTGTGATTGGTGAGACAATCTTTGTAATAAAATTAACTTAGTGGCATTTTTTTCATATATAAGTCTTTCAAAACAGCCTCACTTATGCAACATACTGCAGTTACTTCTTTACTAATAATAATTTGGTTTTTGTCAGTTGTGAGCTGATAGCATTTCTATACCCAAAAGCAAGTGCCCTGGAACTTCTGGAATCCATTTTTGTTACATTCCATGGTCTAAGCAGTCAAGAGCCCTATGAAACGTGTTTGATCAAACATTAATTTTATAAATTGCTTTCCTTCCCCACAATTCCCATGAGCAAGGTATTCACCCAGATTAAAACGCTGGGAAGTTTTAATGGGATCTTTGAAACCTGTTTGAGTTCTGCTTCCTGGAAAAATAAAACCATCCAATGGAAGCAGTCTTCATCCCAGGAGCTACACCTTGGAGTCTAATGGTGAAAGGATAGCAGGATAATCTGAGTGTTTGAAATGTCTTTGCCAACTCCACAATGCTTGGCTGGAAACAATATGGAAGGGGTCATGTGCATTTGCTCCTGATGTTGAAGAAAAAGGGGATGCTAATTCGCAACAATGTCCCTCTGATCTTTTCACAGTCCTACCCGGGCCCAAGCCTGGAAAGTGAAGACTTTAACATTCCACCCATCACGCCTCCTTCCCTCCCCGACCACTCGCTGGTGCACCTGAATGAAGTTGAGTCTGGTTACCACTCTCTGTGTCACCCAATGAACCACAATGGCCTGCTACCATTTCATCCTCAAAACATGGACCTACCTGAAATCACCGTCTCCAACATGCTGGGCCAGGATGGAACGCTGCTTTCTAACTCCATTTCCGTGGTAAGATTCTGCTTACCTGTTTGTGGTCAGGGGTGAGACACATAGCAAGGAGAAGGACAAATTTAATGCAGGGACAGTTACACTGTGATAGCATAATTCTGAAACTAAGAAGGTGTTCATAGCTATGGCAAATATTTTCCATAAATCCTATAAATTCCTAAAGTAATATTCTATTTTTCATATAAATCAAGGCAATAATCAATGAATGTGTGATCACCCATATTTATAATCCAAATACTAAATACAATTTGATGCTGAATGTGCTATTATGAAGTCAGATTGGCCTACCTGTTTTGATATAAAAAATAACCTTGAAGACATTCCTTTCATCTAGTGAAAGATTCTTTCCTGCAAGGAAAATCCCTACATCTTCTGAACAAGAACTGTGATTGACCCTGATTTCCCCTCTATTTTCCATTCTCAAATTCCACAAATTGACAAAGTAGGAAAGCAAGAAAATGATTTTCATTTTTATTTTGGACATAGAATTCTGATGATCAAAATTTATTTCCATGAAAGTCTTTCCATCCATCAGACCTGTTGTCAGTCTCAATTGTCTTTAGCAATGTAAATTTCATAAATTCACCAGAAAACCAGCAAAAAAGTCAAATTCCCAGGCCCTACTCAGGGACTCTAGTGGCCTGTGCTTTTAACACATCCAATGTTTGGGGGACACTGGATTGAAATAAAAGCTTTGCTTCTGATGTGTCTACCATTTAAAATCTTAATAAATTCTCTGCCTATAGCCTGCATAGTGAAAAAAAATTGGTAGGGTTTTTAACCATATTATAAAACCCTCTTTGCAGGTTAATAGTGACTTTTAATTAGTGTTCTTTGGTTTTATTATTCAATAACATAACAGTCTAGCAAACTCTCTTGTCATTTTCCTAATTCACTGAACAGTGTTGTCATGCTCACAATAGCAAATTGATTAACTCTCATTTTATGTTGTTTCTCATTTAAAAAAAGCATTTTGTTTCATTACTTATCTAAATCATTTGGGAATATATCTCTAACTTGAGTGACTTCACAAGAAGACTTTCTATTAATCATGAATATTATGGCATAAGGATGGGAGAATAGGAGAATTGAAAGAAACTAGAGTAGTTTCCTCAGAGAATGAAGCCCAGAGCCTAGTGCCACAGTAGGATTTAGAATTCTCTTCAAATCTGGCAGCCATCTGGGTGGCAAAGAGGGAAGAACTCCTTTGTAGCACTAGCAATAGCAGAAAACTCAGCACTGTGTCTCCAGTTTTTTAAATTTTATTCCATCTGTGTGGAATTAGCCCATAGGCATTAACTATGACTCCATAAAATAGAAATTGGCCTTTTTAGACAAACATGCTTAACGTGCAAATCTGAAAAATGATGTACTTCAATGTAGTCACCTTGAAAAAATCATATGCCTATGTCTCCTTGGGACTAAGCCTGTAGCCCACTTCATGAGCCAAGTAACACATCCGGGTCATGCCTTTATGGGGACTCTTAGACCTTATGAAGGAGAAGGCTGCATTCAGTATGTAAAGTGTCATTTTTTCTGCTCTACTCCTTCCTTATGGTAGGAATGGGACTTGGGCTGCAGAAGGGGTAATTAAATAGTCAGTTATATAATCTACATCTCAAAGCCTTTTTGCCTTTATAAAATTAGCTTCCTTCCTAGCCATATTTTAGCTCCTTAGCAGTCTTAGGACTTTCTCAATATGCCATTCACTATTTAAGAGATGCTTGTGCAACTTCAATAACAATGGGTCTGGGATTTTTTTCCAGATTTTCTGCCCATGGCAGTCATTTCACCTCCAAATGACACATATGGGACTAGACTTTGTCTTAGACATGAACCAAGCCACTTTGGGGCCTCTCTTCTACTGTGCCTCTCTCCCTATCCAGAGCTTCTACACACAACATTTCTTTATTGTCTCTTCACCCAACCCACTGTCAAAAACTGGACCTAGACATTATTGCTTCAACATGATGTTTCCTTTGGAACTTCCAACAATTTACAAGGTAGAGGGGACACAAATGCCTTCTTGGTGGAAACTAAAGATATAAAGCTCTCATTTGCCATAGGGCTCAATAGTGAGTCTATCAGGGTTCTGTTAGGATGCAGAGCCTAACCAATACCTCTCAAACCATACCCTGGGGGGTGGACGTTAACCTGTGGTTCTCACTTCTAATTTAATACTGAGAGCAGAAGTCTACTCCAGCATGTGAGGCTATAGATGAGCCTTGGTACAGACCAACATAACTTTGTGTGATGCTATCCAATAAGAATGGTTACCAGCTACTGATTATTACTTTTTATCATTCATTAGTTTGTTTCCATTTTATTTGAAAGGCAAAAGGACAGAGAGAGATCTTCCATCTCCTGGTTCATTCCCTAAATACCCACAACAACCAAAGTTGGGCCAGGCAGATGCCAGGAGACTGGAATTTCAGCTGGTCTCCATTTCAGTGGCAGGGCCCCAAGCATGCATCTTGACAAGAAGCTGGATCAAATGCAGAGTAGCCGTGTCATGCATCAGGCATTCTGATATGGGATGCAGTATTTCAAGTGGCAATTTAAACATTGCACCACAGGCCTGCTCCCACTGAATACTTTAAATGTGGCTAGTGTAACTGATGAAACAATTTGTAATTTTCCTTAAATTTAATTACCTTACATTTAAGTAGTCATGTGCACCTAGTGGCTACTGATTGGACAGTATAAGGCTAGTTAATGAGGCTGATGCTAAACATTAAATTCAGATTAAATCCATTTTTTTTTTTTTGAAGCTGTATACTCTTGGAGAAAGTAGATTTGGAGATTAACTGTGTAGTTCCTGTTTGAAGGCTTAGATCTCTGGCTGGATTCCAGGAACAGAGTTTGATCCACTACAGAGTTGCAATAGAAATCTAATGCAGTTGGAAGAACCAAGAGCTATCTTTTGTCTACTAGTTCCTTACAGAAACAAAGAGTCTCTTAGGTTCTTGTTGTGAGCTATCACGTGACTAGAATGCCATTCCTCAATAAGTACGTTCTGAATGCTTACCCTAGTCTAAATGTATGAAAGAGCTTAACTGATTGATAAGACAAGGGCACTGTCCTTCAAGAGCTTATAAGCCACAAAGAAAACATACATAAATATGAAAGAGAAAGAAACACAAAGCAATTAGAAACCAAGAGAATTGCTAAACTCTGAGGTCCTGGCCATGAACTCAGTAACAATGCCTAATTGAAAGAGATTACAGTAATCTAGGCCCGCGCTGTGGCTCAATAGGCTAATCCTCCGCCTTGCAGCGCCAGCACACCAGGTTCTAGTCCTGTCGGGCCGGATCGTCCGATTGCCCTCTTCAGATTCGTCCAGATGCCCTCTCAGCAGCTTTCTGCTGTGCCAGGGAGTGCCAGTGGAGGATGCCAAATGCTTGGGCCCTGCACCCATGGGAGACCAGGAGAAGTACCTGGCTCCTGCCTTCGGATCAGCGCGGTGCGCCGGCCGCAGTGCGCTGGCCGCAGCAGCCATTGGAGAGTGAACCAAAGGCAAAAGGAAGACCTTTTTCTCTGTCTCTCTCTCACTGTCCACTCTGCCTGTCCAAAAAAAAAAAAAAAAAAAAAAAAAAACAAAAAGAGAGAGAGAGAGAGATTACAGTAATCTGATCTGGAAATAAAATTTAATGGAAAAGGAAGGACTGCAGTTAGGACCGAAAGGATAGTTTTGATTTGGATTCTAAAAAGGCAGAAAAAGCCTTACTGGAGTGTGTTCAGAACTCAGGATGGGCACTTGAAATTGGGAGATTTGAGCAAAGCTTTCAAAACTCAGGCAGAGGAGTTTGAACTAGAGAGGTTGGATTATTAGAAACAATTGGTGTTTTTATTCATGTGGAAGCATTATGAAAGCAGTGTTGTAGGGGAATCCTAGCAGCAGTTGTACCTGGGCTAGGTGACATGGTAAGAAACTGGAGGTGTGCAATGCCCCAGAAGCCTGTCACCCCCACCCAGGGAAGAGGTGTTGAGAGACCGTTCCAGCTTGGGGCCAGCAAGAATAGAGGGATGGACCATGAAGCTGTGTATGTACCATCCCCAAACATAGATGGGTGTAAATATGAGCAGCCCTTCCTACTTCCATATTTTAAATTTGAAAAGCACTAGGAGATGATTTGCTTAGAAAGAAAGTATAAGTGAGTATAAGAATTTCTCATCACATTTCTTTATAAAAGCTCACTAAAGCTCCTTCCAACCAATTTTGCTCATGCCTAAGAAGCATCACAAAATTTAACAACTGAATTATTGCAAGTTTACCAGTTGTTGGAATGTATTTACGAATACTGATCATTGAGATATCAGTGCTTATATAGACTGGAAAATAATGGCTACAGAAAGCAGGATGTAAACACTTCCCGAGATCTTCTTTCAAGGTCACCTGCAATATGGGACTAACTAATGAAAGCTAACATTTGTCAATTCTAAATAATGAACTTGCTGTGAATTTTAAAATCCTGGGATTATAAACCACCCTGGGCAGACTTGTATATAGAGGAGAGGATCAACTATCTCCAATTGTGTTTTCCGAAAGCTCTTCAAGGGTATTAAAACTGAGCCTTTTTCAGTTTTGTGATCGTGTCTTTCTGTTACATTTTCACATGGTTGAATTTTCACATTTGAATAAATTTAAGAGTTGAAAATATCTCTATTCTTAGATATTATGTACACTTTAGATGTTATGATGTTTAATATATATTTTAGCATGTGTTACATATGTTACTATTTAAATTATATATAATGTATCATCTTCACTGAGATTTTATTTTAAAGAGAAGTTTTTTTGTATCTATCTCTGTTTCTTATCCCCCTTGGCAACATAAGTGATAGTTTCACAAATTAGATCAGTGTTTCTGACAAATGTCTAATATATTAGACATAAAAACGTAATCCATAATCAAACACCAGCATCTCAGTAAAGTATTAAGAATTCCAGTTTCACAAATGGAAAATGGAGGTTTAGAGTGGTTACATGATTGCTTACTGGCTCAACCAATAAAT